GTACCTTCTATAAATGCGTATTTACCATTTTTATTCTGTATCTCTTATATGTTAATATTTAATTAAGATATGATGTCGAGATAACGCGTGAGGTATTATAATCATATAGGGAATAATTCTTAAATAATCCATAAACAAGATTGATGGATTAAGAAGAGCGCAATAAAAATAAGAACCAAGATAGAATTAAGCGTAAACCTTGATATAATTTGTTAGTCATAAGACGGAAGTAATTCCAAAGAATTGATATCGGGAGAATTCTAATTAGTGAACATGACAGAAGCCTTCCAAGATTCCCTAGTTAGATGATAAGTTCTCCCTTCATATTTTTATTTCATTCCGAGGACTTTCTATAAATATCGTAAAAACTTCTGAGAGATATCTTATTTATAACACGTTGCACGTTTATTTATTTCGCATAAACTCGTATGTACATTTTTCATTTTTCGCGTCACATTTTTTTTTTATTTAAAATACTAGTAATTTATATTTTGTATTTTAAATAAAAACTCTACGAATCTAATTTCTAATCATGCACCAAAAGTTGGCACCTTATGCTGAAATACGAGGCCTGTTTAATATACATTGTACAGTAACAGGTATGATATTTGATTTTTCTACTACTAAATTTAATTAATTTTTTTCTAAATTCCTTAAAATAAAACCAGCATTTTGATATACTGTTGAACCTCCCAAAATCGATCCTCTCAAAATCGATAACCTGACAAATCTGATAAAAAATTAGTCTACCAAGTCCGTTTCCGTTATACAAATCTAATAGTTTATAATGTTTTCAAATCTATTAACCTCACAATACCGATACAAAATCTGTCCACCATGCGTACCGGTTTTGGGAGGTTCAACAATATATATATATATTTATAAAAAATTTTTTAATTTTATATCTACTACATACGTATGCTCTTTTATTAATAAAAACTAATTTTAAATTCAAGACTGACCTTTATCCAAAAAGGCCCCAAGGTTTTGAGGTTTCGTAATAATATAGGACGAAATCTTAGCATATGTCAAGTTTTATTATATAAGCTACACAATAAATGAAAGAATATATTTGTTGTGTGGTTTAACAATATAAATATACAATAATTTTTGAAATAATAAAGTTTCTCTACAGCTAAATCTTTGCATAATTAACTTTGCCCTTATTAAGATCGAATTTGAACATCTGATATTTACTCTCACCTAACGATAAATACAGTATTCGTGATCATTTCTGGTTAGCCGCAATAATATGTGACGAGAAAAAAACTATAATAACCCTAATAAACCAAACTTAAAATAAAAATAATTATACTATTAATATTCAATATTTGATTTTAAAATAAAATATTTTATCGCTGTTAAAAAATCCATTCTTTAAAACTCTTTTGCAGAACAATAGCAGCATATTTATTACCGTCATTTTATTCTTGCTTCATTGGCGTTTGCATAAAATGTTTATTGCTTCAGCTGCACTTATTGCATAAAACACAAATGCACCACCAACCAGGGTTGTCAAAATTTTTCCAACAAAGCGTAAGCCACCTGCCCCAGCCGATTGAGAATTAGCGACAATTCCACCTGGAGGTGTAGCACCTCCATGAAATGACATCAACCATGCTGCAGTTGAATATTTTGAGATACCTATTTTACGAAATCCTATTACATATAGCAAACCATAAATGATTGGTTCGCCTATTAAATAACCAATAGCTAATGATCCAACAACCTTTTTTAGTGTTGGTTCAGTAAATATTCTTATTAATTCTGGCTGAATATCAATAAAATGTTGTCTCGCTTTATTTACAGATTTTTGACTTTTTATAATGATTTTTTCTAATGCTAGCTGATTGTCAACAACCTGTTGTTTCGCTTTATTTGCAAAATTTTGAACTTCAGGATTGTCAACAATATTTTCTCTCACTTCAACAATCGTTTGTTTCACTTTATTTGCAAAATTTTGAACTTCAGGATTGTCAACAATATTTTCTCTCACTTTACTTGCGAAATTTTGAACTTCAGGATTGTCAACAGTATTTTCTTTCACTTTATTTGCGAAATTTTGAATTTCAGGATTATCAATAATATGTTGTTTCAATTTATTTGCAGAATTTTGAATTTCAGCAATGATCTCCGTAAAATATGGAAACTGTACCATTTTCTTTTTTACGAGGATATAGAAGTTATTATTAAGAAAGTAAATATTACAATGTGTATGATTATTTCAGTAATTATTTTCAATGTCGTCCTTTTATAAAATATTGGTCAGTTAGTAATACCGGTACAAAATCAATGTATACAGTACTACTTAGATTTATAGATGCACGAATGCAGATTTTTTTGCCTCTACATAATGCAACATTATGTCACATAATGCATTATACAATCCTGTGCCCTCTAGATTTTACTTATTTGCATGGGTAGTACAACCCAAATCGAATTTTGTAAATAAACTTTAGATTAGAAGCGCATGTGTTCGGATTCAGAATAAAATTATAAAAATATTGTGATTTTTAAACCTTTACTCAGTAAATCTCTTTTTAGCTTCTAATTAAAGTTGTAGAATATTGTCTTGCGATCGCAATGGTGGTTAAAACGTTAAAATCTGCCCAGTAGATCGCGAGATATAAGCATTTTAGTCTTCACGACTAAATTTTTTAAACTGCATCAACAACTCCTCACTCCAATTTGGTGCTATAATAATAAGGAATTGATTTTTGTGCTTTCCAAAGTTTGTGTTCTGATTGGCCATTTCCTTTTTAAGGTTTGTACTACTCGCGCAACTAAGTGGAATAATTACTATTTGTTTTTTTTTTATCAAGAATAGCTTTAAAATGTATGTTATTGTAATCTAAAGATGTTAAGTAGTTAGGATTTAACCAAATTGACTCAGTTTGGAAATTAAACCATTATTGTTAAAAATTAAAATTTGTTAAACTTGCAGATTTAACATGCTTGTTAACACATTATAAACTATGATAACTGGTTCATTCTTCACATAAGTCATAATAACTTGTTTGATTTTTTTATTTAATCGATTAAACTTACAAAAAATAATTAATATTTACAATTATTATATATTATCATAATTAATAAAGTTTGATATCAAAAGTAAATTTTACTCTTGAGAACTACTTTATTATACGTATGAACTTCTTTTTATGTGTAGCAAGAGATTGCTCATCATATCAAATTAAAACATTAAATGATAAAAATTTATTGAGTTAAATTTATATAACAATTTCAATGTACGTTTTTAACTTTTAAACCATCACATTACATTATGCAGCATTATGTTTTGCATAATGTAACGTGCATAATAGCTTAATATTTTCTAACGTATCATATCTATTTTAACCAGTACAAGCTCTTTTATATTTTTATTATTTTTGATTAGTTAACTCTTCTGTAATATAAAGATAATGCTAATATAATTTATAAGGGCATAGAAAAACATGCTCTAGTCCAAAGTATCTTCCTTTTAATTATTCTTGTACCAGTATAGTAAACAACCCAAAATTTGATAATAATTATTGTGGCTTAACTCAATCAAATAAAAAAGTTTACATATATTCATTAAAGTATTTTCCATTCCTGTGACTTATAAACTGATTGTTAATGAAATAACATAATTAAAATTACATAATGTGCATCTTTAAATTTTAGGCAACTTGCATCGCATTATGCAGCATTATGTAGCATGCAACATCACCTGCATAATGCATACGGCACCTCTAATCCGACCCAGTCCGGCTTCAAACCAAACTCAAACTTTAAATTTTACCAATTTCAAACTTCATACTAGACTCAAACTCTATTATCGTTATAATTTTGGTCTGGATTTGGTCCGAAGGTTACACAGTCTGAGTCCAAAAATATATAAATATATTTTGAGTGTTAAACAAGTTTACTTAGAGTGAGAGGTTAGAGTCTATTGGTAAAATTTTGAGAATTATAGTATTTCAGTATTTTTATTAATAAAATTATATAAAATATTATGATTCTCAAAATTTTGCTAATTGACTCTAACTTTAAGCTCTAAGTAAACTTGTTCGCACCTGTATATGTTCAGACTCAGACTAGTCTGCAAACTTCGGACCAAACAAGGATCAGACTCAAAGTTGATTAAAAGTTTGAAACATCAAAATTTGAATCCAGAAACCAGACTCAAACTTAACAAAAGTCTGGTCTGGTCCGGTTTGATAGAAACACTAGTATTTATACAGAAATCAGATAAAAAGATAAATTAATTAGTTTTCATACTTAAATTTAAAAAATTATATTACAGCGGCTATATTTTATAAAATTTTATTTATTTTTAATTATTGCAATTGTAAATTGCAAAAATAAAAAAAAAAACAATTTAAAAGGGTATGTTTATTGAATAGATTAAATAGTATAATAAACATGTATAAAAAACAAATTTAATAAGATAAAAAATTATACAATTATTAATATCTCATTTCAATAGGTGAAAGTTTGATATGTAATTTTTTATATCTTCAGATTTGTCTCAATAAAACAAATCAAATGGTATGAAAATTATTAAATTTTGATTGTTGGATTATGGGATATTTTTGATATAATAAAATAAAGATTTTTATAAATATTATTGTATTAATATAACAATTAATTAGCCAATTATCATATTCATGAAGATAACAAATTGCATAAGTCGTTTTATACTTTATTGAACTGAGTCTGTCCACTCTCCCATTTTTAACACGGGTTTATACTTGTCAGGCATTTTTATTTCTTTACCAACAAGCCAAAGAATATTCTTGGATAAAGAATATGGAAATGGTGCTTCTTTTGGTTCCGAAACAGCATCTAACCTCGCCATTTGTTCAGATTGTTAACCTAATTATTAAATTAATATAAATGGTAAGTAATGGTTTAATTTAATACAAAGGCATAGTAATGAGAATTTAAAAAAAATTTATTCGAATTCAAGAGCTTTAAGATTTTCAATTAATAGTGTTTTTGTTCTGGCACCAATAAGAGGAGAAATAATGCCAGGTTTTTGTGAGATCAAATTCAAAGCAACCTTTTAATTTAAATTAAAAATAAAATAAAAGAATTATAAAAATATAGGTGATTATAAAC